ATCTACAGTATATTAATCTTAGTGCATTAATCCCAGTAATCTACAGTATATTAATCACAGTGTTCTCCACCATCAGTTAGAACTGATGAGAGGATGTCAGGAGAAATAAAAAGGAACTTTTCAAGCTACCAAATGTATTCAACTCATAAAAATTAAAAATAGACATCTGGGGAACAATTTAGATGAACTTAAAATAGATCAAACTTATTAAAATAATTTCTAAGATACCTTAACCTCACTGGAAGCATATAAAGTCATTTTCCATAAACACTGACTTTAGTTATTGCATAGAGATCAGATTAGATTAGATTCTTGCTGAGCTGAGAAAGAAGCTTTTATCTGCTGAGGCATAAATCATTATCAGGTTGGCAAAGTTTAAATCTAATCAGCTAGAAAGTTAGAGTCCTGATTCTATTTTACCGTCTTAAAGTCCGCTGTAGGAATAACTTGGACAGTTTGCCTGAAAGTGGTTCGCTTGTTTAGATTTTCTCATCCCTCCTTCTTCCATATCTTCACCATCATCACATTTAAAGCCTGTTTTCCGTCATTTGCATGGAGAGATCCTGTTTTCCCTCCAAAGCTCCGTCTGTTTACATCCTCTGTCTAACCTGTAAAATCCTTTCCTCATTATTCAAATACATAAATAGTAACTGTTTAACGTCTAAACTGGGCTTTTAAAACCAGAACAGATGTGATGCAGAATATTAGTGAAATCTGCAGTAAACTGGTTCGTCACGTCATGAGACAGTTTAGCTTTTTATGTTATTGCAATTTGATTTATTCTTGTTTTGCAGGTTCAGCTCTGCCTCCTGCATCAAAGAGCAAACCAGAGCGATCATCTCTTCTCCTCCTTCATCTTTTCTCGACTTTCCAGCGCCGTTTAAATGCAAAGAGAGAAAAGGAATAAATCCACCTAATCAAACGCCTTTGTCTCTAAACCCTGGATGATGTGAAGCTTCCTACGCAGACGCAGCCCTGCGCCTCAGTTTGCTGTTTTTTACTGAAACCCCATCAGTTACTCCTTCTGGCCAATGCCATCAGCGTTCCAGTAAAGGACAGTAAAAGCAACATGAGGTTTTATAAACTAAATGAACGGGACTGACTGGTTTCCTGGGGGAGTAAAAACCCAAGCAGGTCTTTTCTGCTGAAACGCATCCAGACACATTCCTCTCTTCACTCTTTACAATTATTTTCTAAAACATTTTAATTAACTGACTATAAAACATGATGAAAGTACCCGAGTGCCTGCAGGGCTGACATTAAAAGTCTCACCTTTTATGGTGATTTTATTTCACATGAAAAAAAGATATATAACAAATAAAGATAAAAATCTAATAGTCAGAAATCCTAAAACAACATCAGTCTAGTTATTTCTTTGGAAGTTATGGTTTATTGTTCAATAACAACAGAAAGAAGGTTGATTGTGCAGGAATGAGGTTAAAAAACATTAATACCAACATGCATCATCGGGTGCCGGTAACTTCAACACTGAGGTTCACTTTCTCCACGGCCATTATGACCATTCAAACCAAAACAATGATAAAAACACTGTTTTCTACAATATCCGATTCATATAAACAGCAAAATTTTGTCTCCTTCATTTTTACAAGAAGTGCCTGAAAGACGGATTTAAAGCTGTAAACATAACTGCTGCAAAAGTTTCTCATTCTTTTCACTTCAAGCTCAAAACAGACGCTCCCAATTTACCAAAGAAAAAACTAAGTATAAATATAACAATGAAAAATATAATATAGTGATAGCAATTTAAAAAGATAAACCAAGAAATCTATATTTTTAAATTTAATTCCGTAAAAGTAAAAAAAAAAAAAAAGACATTTGAATTGAGAAAGCTTTCTGGAGAGATGGCGAAACGTCTTCAAATCTTGGAAACCAATTCCAGTGGATATTTTTTTTGAACTTTTATGACTATGACTATGACCTGGATGACTGAGAATCTTCATCAGCATATTTTTTAATTTAAGTTTCCCCCCCAAAAAGTTAAAAAACAATACACTGAACTTTATTTCCCAGCGTTAAAAGACATATTCCAGGCTTTTACACTTGATTTTTGTTGTTTTATATATTAATACACTTGTAAAATTAAATAAAACTGTTATTGTCCCCTTTTCCTAATTTCATCTTTTTTATCTAC